TGTTTCAGCTTCAGATGTTTCAGCTTCAGATGTTTCAGCTTCAGATGTTTCAGCATTGGATGTTTCAGCTTCAGATCTTTCAGCATTGGATGTCTCAGCTTCAGATAAATTAATCATCATTGAGTTTTACAAATCCCTCTGCTGACATCAGCTAAAATGCAGCTTGACCTGGTCAACCTGCCTGTTGGACCCAGAATCTTCTGGGTCACTGGTCGTCATGGTGACTGACTGTGGGAAGAAGAGTTTGGGCAGACATCTTGGCTGTGGCCCATTGGACGGTTGGTTGTTTGGGTAGTTCTGGGTCTTTTAAAGCTGTGGGAGGAGGAGCGAACTGCAAACATGACAACAACAGAAGATGTCGCCCTGTCCATCAACTTTTATATCGTTCGTTAGAAGTTCCGTCATTTACGAGTCAGATCTTAAGATTCTTGTGCGCACACCTGCAGCAGGTAAAACATGAACTTTGAAAACGTTTGTTCTTTCAGAGCAACTGAAGTCAATATCTTATATCTTCCTGCTGCAGGTGAGATGCTTCTTCAGTCACGAGTTTCTGAACTGAACCAACAAGGAGCTTCTCTCTGCTGAAGAGACACCTGAGCTGAGGCGTGGAGCAGTTTGTGTCTCTGAGGACAAACTGTGACCCGGTTCACAGGAGGAGGGGAGGAGGAGGAGGAGGAATTCCCTGCTGGAATCTGTCCAACTCTCAGAGGAGCTCAAGGTCCTCAAAGACTGGAGTGGACTGTCGGACAAAATAAGTCAAGTCTCAACCACGTCCACTGTCCCTCATCTGGACATGTCCAAACCATGTCCAAGACTTTGATTTTATTTTTCGGATTCCTTCAGTGACAAAGAAATAAAATGATTCAGGTCTGAAATTGGAAAGAAAAGTTTTTTTTAATCTTATTTGTTTAAAGTTTAAATTTTCGCTGATTACCTGAAAAAAAGACCATCGTGATTACCTTAAGTTTTTAGACCCAGATGGAAAAGAGACTCTTTCTTATAAAAGGTAAGACATTTTATTTACAGTGTTGAAGGGAAGGTATCTGGAAGAGAACAGGAAACAGGTACATATTGACAAGAGCAATATCCAGGCTGATGTTCCAGAAGGTTCTCTTACTTTTGTTGTTTTAATTGACAGTCTTGGAGAGGACGGAGAAGTAGCTGTTGTAGTTTTCAGGAAATGTCCATTCTGCTACTGCCTTGATCTTTTCAGGGTCCATCCATACCAACACACTCAGAAATAAAACCAAAGAAGGTTACCGTTGGCACGTGAAATTGATACTTTTCAGCCTTAACATACAACTGATTCTCAAGGGGATGTTGAGGAACCACTTTGACATGTCAGGTATGTTGTTGGGGTCTTTAGAATATATGAGAATGTTGTCAAGAAAAACAAAAACAAAAATGTTCATAAAATATCTCAAGACATCACTGACAAGAGCCTGGAAGACAATGTGAGCATTAGTCAGGTCAAAAGGCATCACAAGGTCCTAAAAATATCCCAAAGTTGTCTTAAATGCTACCTTCCACTCATCTCCCTTTTGAATTTGAACCAAATAGTAAGTGCTTCGAAGGTCCAGATTGGTGAATATGGTGGCATCATGAAGCTGTTCATAAAACGAGACAATGAGAGGTAAAATGTATTTTTTTTTATTGTTATTTGATTTCCACACATTTGTAAGGACACAAAAAGAAACAGCAAGGAGCTTGATGTCCCTCACCTGGTCATTGGTTACAGGTACCCTACCCCAGAGCAAGGCCTGGAGGAGGGGCTTGCATGCGAGTGACTGGGTCTCAACTAGAGTTGCATTTGGGCCCAAAAAATTCCATCTGATCGGGCCCCAGCCCGTAGCCATCATTTCCAAACCCCACCCGACCCGATGAATTAACAGTAATTACAGGTCTGAACCAGGACAAACCCAACATTTTTAATTAAAATTTGACTGCTTATATAGTTATTAACTGTCAGCAGATGTGCACGGCTGATTAAAAGGGGGCAGAAGATCTGAGATGAGGAGGTGTTTGTCCTTTCATGGCCGTCAAAGCGCATGAAATCCCTGCTTCTGCCTGCATTCTGCATTATTCAGACACGGTCCCTGCTCTGACATGTCAGATATTTTGGGATCTCACCTGTTTGGATCGTCCGCCACACACGCCTGCTGAGTGCAACTGAATCTTTTTAAAATTACACCACCACCTTCTAAAGTAAAGAACAAAGAGGTCTCATTTATTTGAATGTCTTTCTTTACTTTAACTGATCTTTATTTTTTTTTTTTTACCTCTTTCAAGGCCGGTCAGCATGCTGTCAAATGGCCATGTGCGACTGGTGAATGTATGGCAAGCTATGTTGTCATATAATTGGATTGTCAGCAGCACGCGTCCGCTAACACAATCAAAAGCCCGACACTGTCCTGGCCTGCACATTATTATGGCCCGGCCTGGCCCAGCTCGGCCATAATCCAGTCGGGCCGGGCTCCAGGGCATGGACTGTGACCTCTCTGGTGGGGAAGGAGCCTGAACTTGTGCATGAGGTTGAGAGGTACCGACTAGATACAGTTGGCCTCACCTCGATGCACAGCATGGGCTCTGGAAACAATCTCCTTGAGAGGGGCTGGACCTTATTCCACTCTGGAGTTGCCCATGGTGAGATGCGCAGAGCTGGTGTGGGTCTACTTGTAGCCCCCCGACTTGGTGCCTGTGTGTTGGAGTTTTCCTCGGTAGATGAGAGGGTGGCTTCCCTTCACCTTTTGGTAGGGAAATGGGATCAGTCTGTGGTTTATGCCTACGCGCCAAATGGCAGTTCAAAGTATCTGGCCTTCTTGGAGTCCTTGGCAGGAGTGCTGGAAGGTTCTCCAGCTGGGGAATTCTTTATTCTGCTGGGGACTTCAATGCCCACGTGGCTAATGACAGTGTGACCTAGAGGGCTGCGATTGGGAGGAACGGCCTCTTTGATCTGATTTGATTCTCAGTCGCTGCCCCTAAACTGTGGAACGAGCTGCCTCTGCATGTCAGACAAGCTGGCTCACTTCCTGTTTTTAAGTCTTCTCTGAAGACACATCTTTTCTCTTTGGCTTTTACTTCAGTTTGAAATGTTGGTTTTAATGACTCTAAGTTATTTGTTTTATTTTATTTGTTATCTTTATTTTATTTCATATTTTTAACGTGTGGGGTTTTTATGTTTTTGTATGTCCTAGTGTACAGCACTTTGGCCAACAGTGTTGTTTTAAAGTGCTCTATAAATAAAGTTGTATTGTATTGTATTGTATCTGAACTCGAGCGGTGTTCTGTTGTTGGACTTCTCTGCTAGTCATAGTTTGTCCATCACAAACACCATGTTCTAACATCAGGGTGTACATAAGTACACTTGGCACCAGGATGCCCTAGGTTGTAGATCGATGATTGACTTTGTAGTTGTGTCATCT